TAGTACGTATTGTTATAAACAGCGCCAGCGATTCTGTACTTCTAATGACTTCAGCAGGGACTGTCCAGGCGCTGATCGGTATGGTGTGCAAGAAGAGAGTCTCAAGTGCAGTGATAAAGAGTGTTTCGGTAAGCCTGAGTTAGAATTAGTGTAGAAAATGGAACAGGAACGAAATAGGAAGAAGGTCATCATCATCATCATCATCATCATCATCAATGTTTTTCGCCAAAAGCCCGACGACTTCTACACCCCGAGCTTGTTAGTGCTGTTAATGCACCTGTGATATTTTCAAATGATGGGGTTGTTACACCAACGCCCAAACTTCATGTTGGGTTACCATTTTTAGACACTCTGGCATACCAGTGCCAGGACGAAAAAGTCGTGCCTGTATGTGTTCACGGTCGACACAAGAAACCTCTAGGTCATACCAGTTCAAAAGTGACGGCAAACAAAGAGGACTGTTAAAGATAAAGCCAATCTCGCCATTTTAAGAAAAAAAATGTTATTACTTGAAACCACAAAAGGCTCTTTTGATTATTTAGAAAATTAAAAAAAATACGTCTTTGTTGAAATTTTCTTCTTTAGCTCCAATTGACGGTCACTGGGGTCGCTGGTCATCATGGGGCCTGTGTGACGCTAAATGTGGACTTGGAACACATCACAGGTCGAGGTCATGTGACGACCCTTCACCAAGATATGGAGGCAAGAATTGCGTCGGGAGCTCCAGCAGTTCACAATCCTGCAAGCTTAAGTCCTGCGGGATCGGTAAGTGAAGATACTTTCTTCGTTTTGCACCGGCTTCCGTCTACAATCTGGACTTTCCTCGTAGGTGAAGTTTGACGTAAAGAACAGGGAGGAGTTGGTGAGAAGTGTGGAACTAAGTAAAGAATAACAAGCGGTTCATGACTGGGGGAAAAGTGCGACAATATCCTAACTTTGTCAGACTTTTCCACACTTTCACACCTCCGAGAAGTGTGGAACTTAGTAAGAAGTGAAAAAACTCTGGATTTCATGGCTAGGGCTGCACATAGCTCTCATTTTCGCATTTTTACTCTCCGAAAATCTTGTTGTGACAGCTTTTATGGTTTGCGGCTCACTTTTCCCTCACTCCGTACTTCCTATGCCTTTTTCGCCAATTTAGTGCCCTTTGTATTCCTCAGGGCCGGATGACTGCGAGTTTGACTCTGACCAAATGTGCCATTGGACGAATAGTAAATCTAACCCACCTTTATACAACTGGGTACGTAACACTGGTGGAACGCCTTCAAGTAACACTGGACCATCCGGAGACCACACTTCTGGGTCAGGTAATAACTTAATATGATAGTGGAAAGATTGTTGCAAGAGGCGGGCAAGAAAGGAGATCCAGTCTGGTAATTTTGACCCTTTAAATGTCACTATCAACATGTATAAAGAAATAATTCCAGCTTCACAGATAGCTTAGTGGGGGTATATAGCTGGACTACAGAGCAGGAGGTCGCTAGCTCGATTCCTCGGGGCAACACCTAATGTAACGAAGAAGTAATGGTAATGCCCAGCAAGACAAAACTGCGCATTTGCAAACCCATCTCCATTGAAAACAGCTCTGCTGCCACCTTACCACTTGGCAATAAAGCTACCTGACAATAGACGTTTGGAACTAGAGAAACATCAAAGTACCCAAAAGGTCACCATTAAAATTCAAATCATGAGCGTTCGATGACGATAGCGTTGACACTAACAACAAGTGTTCTTCCGTTAAGGTCATTACTTGTACGTGGAAGCAAGTGGTATTCCAGAAGGGGATAGAGCTGCATTAGTCAGCAGGAACTTCAATCCGTCGATCGGACGCTGTTTGACGTTTTGGTACCACATGTACGGTGAAGCGATGGGAGAATTGAATGTTTACGTTAAGCCTGTTGGGGGATCCAGGACCAAGGTCTGGAGCAAATCTGGCGATCAAGGAGATGATTGGAAAATGGGACAAGTTACTCTGAAAAACATGGATTCGGACTATCAAGTAAAACCTAGTTTTTAGAGTACAAAGGAGTAATTTTTTCATGTATTTTGAAGAGCGGTACGGTGGTGTTAATTACACCAGAACAAGTGTTTTTTTTTATTACGATTAAACGGAGGATCACATATCGAGCTCACATACTACGACTACGAGGCTACGATCCTGTACTTTTGTCGACGCTGCAGATCCGCTAACCTCAATATAACGAACCTCCATATAAAGTTGTCCTCGGTATAACGAAGGATATTTCCCCCCTCGGTATTGTGAAAAAGATTCACAATAAAAAGAAACTTCGCTATTACAGTGAAATGCATATTTTGCCGATCCCTCAGCCCTTTGTTTTATCTTGGTTCCCCTGTATATGGAAAAGGGTATTTTATGATTGTTCATTGCTCTTGGGCAGTTTCTTCAAAATAAAAATGATGACGATGATAAAAACAATGATACTACAGATAATGAAAATGATAAAACTGATGATACTTTGTTCTTAGGTAGAATTCGAGGCAGTTTGTGGAAGCAGTTTCAGAGCTGACATTGGGTTGGATGACATAAGCTTCAAAGAGAGTCCTTGTTGTAAGTATGTCAATTATTTTAACATCTGCAGTCAAATTTTGAAATATTTCGTGTATGTTGCGCTCTGTTTTTCATCATTTACAGTGGAGGCTGTTGGATGCTTCTGGGATACTCAGGATCGGGCGTTACCAGTATTATTGAAAAATATACGCAACCAAATTGACTGGTATCATATGGAAAAAACTGTGGCAGCATGCTCAAAGTTGACTCAACAACAACATTACAAGGTTAGTACATGGTAATCACGTAATTTGTGCAAGCCACGGCAGCAATTCTCAACCCGAACGATACGATTGTCGTTTACAATACGAATTTCACATTGTAAAACTTCGCTCTCCAATCAAAGCGTGCCTCAAAATACAGCACGATATTGTCAAGAAAATGCTCATAAAAAAATATATTTTTTGATTTTCTATTCGCATAACCCAAGTAAAAAGGAGCTAAAAATGCTACAAATTGATTGCTTCCTTAGCTAAACTGCTGATGATGTAATTTTAATGACCGATATTTTCTCGTTAATAAAAATTTATTTCCTGATAACGAAGCGCAAAAGGTGTATTTATCTGCACAATAGACTGCAAAACAGTCTGTTACTGTTTCCCCCTCAAAATCTGTTTTTCAAGTTGCGCGCTCGCGCGTTCCTCTCCTGCGAAAGAGGAACCGGCTGCTTTACAATCTGTCTGTATATGAATGCACAATCCAGTTTAAAAGAGATAAAAAAAAGTTTTTCTTTCGCATGACCAGAAAAAAATACATCGGTCGACAATCGAAGGTGAAAACATCCTGGGCAGAAGATCTCCGGGCAATACAGTCAAAACTTTCCTTTAGAAACGTGAGCTAATTATGCTTATTGCCACGAAAGGAAATAAGTAATTCCAGGCTTGCGCTAGCACAATACCTGAAAATATTAAAGGAATGTCTAGCCCACAGGCATCATTTTCTCACGTTTTACGGGCGAGCGAAGGTAAGCGAGAGGAGGGTGTGTGAAAAGCGGGTAGCTCACGCCCTCCACAAGGCTTTGCTCAAATAACGCCTGTTCTGCAAGCTTAAAGAGGCATTTTTCTGATAATGTGAACGCAATTTTGTGATTGCTTGACTGGGCTTTCATGTATCTTTCTTTAACACGAACATTTGTTACGGTCGAAGAGTGGCATTTGCGGGACTCCCAATTGAACATGACGTATTATAGCGGAGCTCTCGCGCGAGAAGCGGAGCAACATGGCTGATATAATTTGGTTATCTGTGCACCCAAGAAATTTTGGTTCTGATAAATTCGTCTGTAGGTACGTCCACCCGTTCACGTTAACAGATGTGAAATGTTACACTTACCAGCCCGTAGTCGAAGGCCCATACAATTTGTATTAAACTTGATATTATGGCCAATTGACAGCTGTCAAAAAAGAGCACCCGCTGACCGGTTTCACATGACTGTATCGCGGGCTCAGGTGCACAAAGAAGATGTCGCGGCCCGGCGGTGTGTTTCTTTGTTCCCGCCGCTCGTGGGGAGAAGAGCACTTTAAAAAAAGAAGCGGCGCGGTGCCCTCTCGAGTGGTCATTTGTCTAGAGTAGGAGAGGCACTCCGGGGGGGGGGTTTGGCGCGGGGGGGGGGGGGGGGGGGGGGGGGGGGGGGGGGGGGGGGGGGGGGGGGGGGGGGCGTTCATCCCACGGCCGGACCAACAAGCAAGGTCTTTAAAAAACTGGTGAGATCATGCTGGCTTTGATTTTAGACCTTGTCTCAGTTATGATGATCGCGTCATTGGCCGGTCAAGTTAAGCCGTTGGTCTTGTCTCCTTCATGCTTCTTTCAGTGGACAAATCAAAGGGGACGTAAAAGAACCCACACTACTCTGCTCCAGCGGCGTGGTCTACCTTTCACATCCGTGGCGTGGTCTATCATTCATATCATGGGCGCAGTGAGCTCATAAATGGACTGATAGCGGCTGCCGGTGGCGCCCTTGTGTGCTGACGTCCGACCTTACTGTTAACATTTTCAGATATATTATAAAGAGGACACGTCTTCCCACTCATGGCATTTTATTCATTTCGTTCTTTCATTCATCCAGATGCGACTCATTTTGGGATCTCGCTTACCGACAACCCAGGACACGTTTAAAGCCATCTTTAAAACGTTCACTTCGAAAAGCATAGAAAATAGGGTTAAGACATAAACTACACCCAAATAAAAACTCAACCACTGTAAGGAGAACATAGTACGTGTCAAAGTCCACGTTTTCACCATGTTGGGATGCGACCAGTGTAGCCAAAATTATACCAGGTCCATAACCTATTAAAAAGCCCACAGACGCTAGGAGAAATGTGACAACTAGCTTTCTTTTCTCCGAACGTCTCTCTCCATCCGTTTCTGGACACACTGTGTTGGTGAAGTAAAGTCCACGTATCAACGACCCGTAGCAGAAAAACATTATCGTTGCTTGTATGTAGAATATTGCAGCATACACGAGGAAATAAATTCTGCTTGTTCGACTCTCGTCATAATTAAATGGACCAGAGCAAGTAGAGTATGCTTCACTCCACGTTTCAAGGAAAAAATTTGGTAAAGAAAGAAGAGCGCTTGTGATCCAAATGAAAACGATGGCTTTCTTTATATTGTCTTCGTTTAACCGTAAACCATTGTTGAAAGGCTTCAACAAAGCATTATACCTTTCTACAGAAAGCACAACCAGAGTTATAGATGAAACCATTGCGGAAGTTGTAATGATGGCAATAGACTTGCAAGCGATGTTAAGCAAATTTTCACCGATATGTTCATGTAGAAGATAAGTGGTTAAGTCATGTATGAGAAACAACAAAATGGCGATAACATCGCTAACAGCCATGTTCACTAAAAGAAAATTCGTAGGCGTATGCATCACTCGTGACTTGTACACAATTTGAATAACCAGCACGTTTCCAATAAACCCAAAGATGCAAACTGGAATGGAGGACCACAACAGGGCACAAGGCAGGTCCATTATTTCTCTTAACTGCGCAAAAACCTTGTTCTTTCTTTCTGTATTTGGCGGTAGGAGTTAGGAAATTGTCTCTCGAGCTGTTAAATAATCGCAGCGACCTTCTTCTCCCTTTGCTGTTTAGCGATTAGTGTGAAGCAAGTTCATGCCATGTTTAACAACATGACCGTATTACAATGATTGTCAGTAAACAGTCTTCTGACATCTCCAGCAGGTGAATACACAGCAACAAAGCCGGCAGCAAAATTTTAATGTTCTTACATTACGATTTATTTTACTAAATTATACAATAGTAGATGTAACACTTACCAGCCCGTAGTCGAAGGCCCATACAATTTGTATTAAACTTGATATTATGGCCAATTGACAGCTGTCAAAAAAGAGCACCCGCTGACCGGTTTCACATGACTGTATCGCGGGCTCAGGTGCACAAATGATTGAGTTGATTTGTTTTTAAAGTTCTCCGCTGTTGTTTTTCAATTTATCGCGGGTTTAGGTCACTTTTTTTTCAGGAGAAATTCAGTTTGTTTCTCGCTTACGGCAAAAGTTGAATCACGGCAGAAAGACATCTCTTAAAAGATCCCACAAGAGCTTCGCTTTTGGCCTTAGCTAAATCTATATATTATCTATTTGCAGGTGTTTGGCGTACAGTACTATGGTGAATGTTGGAGTGGTAGTGCTGATGTCGCCAAGTACGACAAATACGGCATCGCACCCCCTGAAAATTGCTGGGAGGGAGTTGGTGAAGAGTGGACAAACTTTGTGTACAAGATTGTGTAGAGGGGTGAGAAGGATTTTATCAAAGACACGTTTTAGAAACAATGTTGTTATGGATTGTTACACACACATTTTACTTCTTTGTGCATCAACTAAACATATTTTACAAATAAGAATTTCAAACAGAAACCCCAAAATGGCCACTCTGTGTGATTGATATCGAGTGTTCATTTCAATACTATATTACTGCAAGTATATTGAGCCACACAGTTTCACTATATCCTAGCATTATGTAGCGAGTAAGTTATCTTTCTGAGATGTCTAACGTCTCCACTCCCTAACCCGTGGGGAGCGCGGGGAAGAGAGAATTCAGACGACCGCAAAATCCGCGTCCCCCACGGGTTAAGGGGTGGAGACGACTGACATTTATGACTACGAGTAAATGGCTATGCGTGCGATGCCATTTTGACTGAAGTTCTTAACCAAAAGATCACAACCGACTTGAGATTCAACCCTGCAAATCTAAATGTGTCGCACGCTTTTCCCCGCACTTAAAATTTGACGATCACCGCCTGTTACGAGATTGCCAGGCTAAATTGTTTGCAATGGTTTATACGGAGAAACTTAGAATTTAAAAAGCTTTCAATTCGACTGTCTACGCTATCTTCAACCGACTAACCAAAAGTACATGTAGATAAAAATTGCTAACAGTGATATATTTTCGTTTCAGGGAAGATATTTTTCGCAACTGGACTATTCAATCACATTGCTGTAGACTTGAAAATCCAAACATTAATAAATGAAGTAAAAAATTGGATGTAAAGTTACTGAAGCTTTTGCATAACTTGTTAAACTTTTGTCGGACTGAAGCATGATTCTCTTAGAATGTTAGCTATGCTGTTGACTCTCTCTTAAGCGGGGTATGTCACGGAGATATTACAATGTTAAGTCAATTGTGTGCTTACATCATTACTTAATGCCAATTCCCAGAAACCAAATTGTCTATCCTAGCTATCCGTGGCACTAGCTAGGCAACAGGAAACAGTTTCAATTCCTAAATATAGTCTTAAATATCAAAACCAGATCGTTATTTTTAAAATTCATTTGAGGCAAAGTGAAAATCCCGTTAAACTTTCTGAAAAGATGGCAAATATGGTGACAGCTACTTCAACGGAGTCCGCTATAAGACAGACTCTTACCAAAGAAAGAATTAGTCCCCGCAGTTGTCCGGTAATTTTACCGCACTCTTCGTGAGAAGAGCACCTTTCTAAAATGAACAGCGACGTTCGGTCTCCCAGGTGTACATGTCCGTCATATTAGAGAGACTTCTACGAACGCTTGGTTAGCTCAGTTCACGGGGAGAGCGCTGGTCTGCTGAGGGGAGGTCGGGGGGGGGGGGGGGGG